CTGAGGCCCATTCTTTGAGGAAGAGTAGTCTATAGGCTTCTCACACAGGTGGGGTAGGCTGTATTGCATGTAAGAAATTAACATCTTAAGTGTACTTCATTGTTACCCTGAAAATGGCCCTGTCCAGTTGAATACTGTGAAAGCTTTGACAGTTAAAGACACTTATTTGCAGGTAGTGATGAAAACAGAGTGGCCCAGGAAGGAAACTGGTACGTATTATGTATACAGAACTTATTATAGTTTACTATTAACCTTACACTTTTATTATCTTAGTATAATAACAGGCATTCTTATAGTAATTTTACAAATATTATCCATTTTTTGGAGAGATTTTATTTGTTTTTATTTATTTATTTTTTTGCTTTTTTGTTTGTTTTTTGGCTATAGGGTGTTTGCACTCGCCAGAAAGACAGAGAGAGACAGAGAGACAGAAAGTGAGAACTCACCCCCCAGGGAGGATGACCACACTGCAATCCCTTCTCCTCCATTCTCCTCTCGGGATCTTGGGCCCACACGTACACACGCTCGGTGTGAGTTTAAGTCATCAGGTCTGGGACTCGAACCGTGCTTGACTACATGGAAATCCAGCCACATAGCCATTATACCAACTGCTGGTCCCAAATATTAATTTTTTTGAGAGAGAATTTCGCCATAGGGCGTGTGTGCTCACTGAAGAGAGAGAGAAAGAGAGAGAGTGAGAGAGAGAGAAAGTAAGAAATCACTCTGGGGGGATAGTAAGGCCCACAATCCTTTCTCCTCCATTCTCCTCTTGGGATTTTGGACGGGCATGCACACATGCTTGGTGTGAGTTTCAAGTCTGCAGGTCTGGAATTCAAATCATGGTCGCCCATGTGGGAGTCTAGCACCTTAACCAGTACCTCATCTACTGGCCCAATATTATCTTATTTAATCCACTATTATCATAATGGTAACTAATACTATTTAATTATCATTTTGTAGATGAAGAAACTGAGGCTTAGATTATAATTGGTTTAAAGTCAATGAACTACTAAGTGAATCAAAATTGTCTGACTTTGTTGTTATCCACTTCCCAGTGGTTGGCAAACTGCCAAATATTGAGTGAAAATTTCTGTAAATGATTGAGTTGATAAGTCTCATTTCCTTGCAGCACCAAAATTATGGGTTTTGACTATAGGAAATATGTGGAAATTGGGTTCCAGGAGTAGAAACAGTTAAAGCAACCATGAGGGATTCTGGGATTC